CGCTCCTTCAGCAGGTTCTTGGTCCTTCTCCTCCTGTAGAGTGTCCACCGCCTATGCAGTCACAGTCACAGTTACCGCCGGCCTTCCCTCTCCCTCGTCCGTCTCCTTACACTGGTCCTACTAGAGGTCTTGCTGAGCATCGTGAGCCTGCGTCTCGTCCCGCGTCGACTGTTCGTGCTGCTCGCGCTAGTGGTCACGGTTCGCATCAGCGTCCTCCTCCTGTCCGTGGCACGCACCGGATGTCTCTGCGTCCGTCCACTGCTCCTCTGCGTGTCCCTTTGCCTTCTCCTCCTGAGTCCTCTCTTCCTGCGCTTGCCGACCCGGAGTCAGACTCTCTTCGTGCTGCCAGTCCTACTATCACGCGTCTCCTTGCTACTATCGTCACTCACCCCTCTTTTGCGTCCACTCCTGCGTTCGCTCTTGTTGCAGAGCTCATCGACTTTGCTGCTCGCTGTCGTCTAGACTACGCTGCTAGTCTTGTTGCTGAGCCTACGTCTGTCTGTCCTCTGTTCGTCGGGGGTGAGTGTGCTCTTAGCACGGACGTCCTTGAGGACAGGCAGGAGGAGTTCCAGTGTCTGGCTGCTGCTTCACCTCATCTCGTGTCCGTACTGCTTACCCCTAAGGGAGACCCATATGCACTTGACATCCCGACTCCGCGCTCTTACGCGGAGGCCGTAGAGGGTCCCTACTCCTCTTAGTGGCAGGCAGCTATGGATGCAGAGATGGCTTCCTGGAAGTCCACAGGCACCTACGTTGACGCGGTTCCCCCACCCGGGGCGAACATCGTCAGTGGCATGTGGATCTTCAGAGTGAAGCGGCCGCCGGGCTCTCAACCTGTCTTCAAGGCGCGGTACGTCGCTTGTGGTTTCAGTCAGCGGCAGGGAGTTGACTACTTTCAGACATTCTCTCCCACCCCAAAGATGATCACTCTTCGAGTGCTGCTGCACATAGCCGCTCAGAAAGACTACGAGCTTCACTCTCTTGACTTCAGCACAGCTTTCTTGCACGGTAGCCTGCACGAGGAGATCTGGCTGCGCCGTCCACCTACCACCACCGGGACTTTCCCTCCTGGCACCCAGTGGAGCCTCCAACGGCCAGTCTACGGTCTCCGCCAAGCACCGCGCGAGTGGCACGACACACTGAGGACTACGCTTGCGGCTCTTGGGTTTGCTCCCTCTACTGCTGACCCGTCGCTGTTTCTGCGCACCGACACTTCTCTGCCGCCATTCTACATCCTCGTGTACGTCGACGACTTGGTCTTTGCCACTGCTAACACTGCTGGACTCGCCCACGTGAAGTCCGAGTCGCAGAAGAGACACACGTGCACAGACCTGGGTGAACTGCGCAGCTACCTTGGCTTGCAGATCACCCGGGACAGAGCACGCCGCACCATTACCCTTACTCAGTCACACATGGTGCAGCAGGTCCTTCAGCGCTTCGGCTTCACGTACTCATCGCCTCAGGCCACTCCTCTGTCTACTCGCCACTCGCTCTCAGCTCTGCCTTCGGATGAGTTCATAGAGTTGAGTGGCCCGTACCCAGAGCTTGTTGGCTGCCTCATGTACCTGATGACCTGCACACGACCTGACCTTGCATACCCTCTTAGCATTCTTGCACGCTATGTTGCTCCTGGGAGACACAGACCAGAGCACATGGCTGCAGCGAAGAGGGTGTTGCGCTTCTTGTGCAGTACGTCGGGCATGGGGCTAGTGCTTGGAGGGCGACGTTGAGTGGTCCTCACTGGGCACGCAAACGCTTCTTGGGCTGACGACCAGGCTACAGAGCGGTCGTCACAGGGTTACACCTTCAGCCTTGGTTCCGGCTCTGTGTCGTGGCGGGCTATTCGCTCGTCTTCTGTTCTCGACTCCAGTTGTGAGGCTTAGATATACGCCGGGGCCATGGCTGCATAGGAGCTTCGCTGGCTCACCTACCTGCTGACCGACCTTGGAGAGCCGCCTCGTTCTCCTCCAATCCTTTACATAGACATCAAGGCCATGCTGGCCTTGTGTTGAGAGCAGAGACTGGAGTACAGAAGAAAGCACATTGCTCTTCGCTACTTCCTTGCTCGTGAGCTACAGCAGCGTGGTCAGTTGCGGCTTGCGTACGTGGCCTCTGAGGCCAACAGTGCTGATGTTTTCACCAAGGCACTTCCGCCTTGTGATCATCTGAGCTTCTGCACTTAGCTGGGTCTTGTCCGTGTCTTGCCTCACTTGCTCACCCCTTGACCTTGCTTGTACTCTTACATATATATACATATATACCTGCTCTTGCTTGTTTAGCCTTATATATTTATATATCTACTCCTGCATGTGAACTGGCCTTGTGGCCTTGACCTTGTGCTCGGAGTGTGTGGTGAATTTGTGATCCACCCTGAGCTTGCTTTGCTTTGCTTTGCTTGACTGGTCTATTGACCCCTTGTACTCCCCCACTTTGCCTATGGGGGTGTGTCAGATATATATGAGATAGCTATTGTAGGTTATAGTGGGGTAGCACATATGGGGTACATCTTTCTAGGGTTTGTATTTGTACCCAACTTTCACTTAGTCATTCTCATTCTCGTTTCAATTTCCTTAGTGAGCGGAGGTACTATAGTGATTTATGGTCTGTCCGTATTGTCACGTCTGCGCCGATCAAGGAACAGGGCCACACTTTGAATGTGTGCACGATCTGGAGCGTTTCGCAGTGGTGTATCGGGTAATTTTTCTCGGGTGGATGCAATTTGTGGGACTTGTGGGCCCTTCCTCTTGCGTCGGTGGCTCGTAGGCGCGTGGTGACGTCATGATGACTCGCCACCAGTCTATGCCGGGGCCCCTCAGCAGCGAGACGGCATATCAGTTCTTCCCTGCGTCCGACTTGACGTAGTTCGCGTTGAAAAAGACATTCATCGTGAAGACCCACGAGTGAACCGTCGGACCTCCACTCTGGCTTGGTCGAAACAGGGCGGGCGCTGTGGCTTGAGTGGCATTGGTGCCATGATGGCATGGTCGCCACTTGTCGCCGCAAACTCCACGTGCCGACGGGCTTCGCGAGGCTCCCGCGGGCTTGACGCGGTCCTTTTCCTCTCCATGCCAGGCATCGATTGGGTGGCGCCATCAGTGGCTGCGCCTGAGCGCTGTCCCACGCTTTCGTTTTGTGTCGGGGTACCTGATGAAATGACAATCGGCTCCTCCGATTGTGCTGGTGCATTTTCAAATGCGTGTGGTGGCGCTGGAGTATTCACTGTGAATTGCTAACGAGCGAAGTCGCGTTCCGCCGTGAATGTTGCAATTTCAAGCGCCGAGTCTTCGATTTGGCACACGAGACGGTCGAGTTGCTTCTGCGATAGTGTCGTGATGGTGAATTTGAACATGGCGGAGGTGTCGAGCAAGCTGATCGAGAGCCTCTGTCGTGGGTGTGCGTGCTTACGAGAGAGCACTACGAGCGGCAGTGCTGGTTTCGCTGAGAGACGTCTACACCCCCCCAAAAAAAATCAGATAGTGGGGAAGCAAAGGTGTGGGTGCGGTCCGAGAAGAGATCGTAGGCTCCGTATACCAAGTGTTACGAGTTCAATTGAGTGAGCGAGCGAGAGTTGCACAATTGAAGCAAGAGTACAATAAGTGAAGGCATGGGCGAAAAATATATAGTGAAACTTCTGTGGTAACGGTAATGTGTGGAAAATGGGCTGTGCGGCGGGCCTAGTGCCAAGGTTGGGAAATGTCGAGGTAGAGATCCGGAGGGCGGGTTACGAACCAAACTGTGAGGTTGGGTCACGTCGTGAACAGTGGCGGGAACAGTGTCGAGGCGAGTGTCGCGAGTGGTAACGGATTACTGTTGGGTGCTGTTGGCGGGAACAGTGGTGTACGCGCTGAGCAGGGAGGCGAAGTAAGGATTTTTTTTTCCTTACATCATACAAAAACCTACTTGTCTGTTTTCATATTATATTCCAAACGATTCTTTCCTTGTCAAGCAGAATTGGCTTTCACCGTTTTAACATCGCACTAATTAATAAGGAGGTGCTTGTTGAGTCAACGCCAATAGCGGGCTGGCATTTCTGTCGCTTTCCCGATTCCAGACAAATTCTGTGGTTGCCTCAGGCTAGCAACGATTGCGCCAGGTTTCTGGCTCAAGATATCAGGGCGCTTTACCCTGTCCTCCTTGAACTTCAGGGTGAAGTCTCGGACCTAACCTGCTATGACTGGGTTTGGCTGTGCGTCCACCCAAACCGGCAGGGCTGAAACAACGCCCTGCAAAAGAGTTTTACGCTTGTTCGCAACATCACCGTGTCTCAGCTCGTTACGGCAGGCACCCTGCCAATTTTTTCCTTGGTGAGAATTTCGTTCATTCGTGGCTTTCCTCTAAGTCGAAACGTCTGCACAGTGTCGTTGGTGACTGAATTTACAGAATTGGTGGGTACCTAGAAGACCCACCGTCGAACTTAACCAGCACAATTCACAACTCCCCACCTCACACCACAAGAACAACAGGTCCACGCAGTTAGGCATGTTGACGGGTTGTGGCGATGACCTCTGTTGATTGAGGAACTTTTCATTCGAATCGTGCCAGACCCAGTTCGAGCACATGATCTGGCTCCTGGGGATAACAATGGTAGGATCGACAGCGGGACCCAGATTTTTTTAGCTAGGCAGTTTTTTTTTTCGGATTTCCACATTGCTAGATCCGAACTCGGAAAACAATCACACAGCCATTTCTTGGGTATGACTGCCAAGGCACACTGCAACGGCAGGGTATAGTGGGTCCCAACTCGGATCAGGCAGCGTACCCTTAAACGAATCGAGAACGCTTTGCTGTGCTGAGGCGACAGCTAGCTGCGTGGAAATTAGGTTTAGTTAGACTGTTCCGTACCGCTACATGAAGTGTGAATTCAGCTAGTAGCGACGCTCGAGGCGTGCCATCATTAGGGTTTCGATCTCTTTCATCTCATTGCGTTCATTCCCTCTTCTCGTCCGTAACCTTCGTGTAGCCCTCCTTTCGCGCGTGTATCCTTCGAACCTACCGCTCGCATGTGTCGCCCACACGTCGCACAGTGTCGCCGGGAGCGCGAGCCACATCGCACCGCGAGGGTATCTTGCGTGCTGCTCCTGCTGGCGCTCGTTTCAGCCTGTCCGCAGAATGCGGCGTCTATCGCGGCCAGCATGCCACCTGGCGCCGCCACCCCAATGGAGCAGCAAGCAGAGCGTGAGATTCCCTCCATTTTCGCTAACGAGCGCTCTCCGCACCCTCCCCGCTCTTCCCGCTATCCCGCCCTCCTCGCCCTCTCCTCTATCCTCGCTCTCCCCGCTACCCCCTCCGTCCCTGTTATCCCCGTTCTTCCTCTTCCTTGCTCTCTTCTCTCTTCGAATCCTCCTCTCATCCCCCCACGGCCTTCCCCCATACTTCCCGCGCCCCCCGCCCCCCCTTCGTTCCCCCGTCCCCAGTTCCTTCCCCCCTCTTTCTGGTGAGCGCGCACAGACGCAGCGCCACTGGCGTTCTGGGAGGCGATGGGGCTGTGGCGAGCGGGGTTTGCGCCGCACCATCCTCCTCCCCCACTGCCTAACCTCCCCTACCCTTCTCCTCCTCACATACAGGCGATGCGCTGTTAGCGTTCTGGGAGGCGATGGGGCGCAGCGAGGGGCTGAGGGCGAGAGGGTGGGCGCCTATCCTTCTCCTCCCTTCCCTTACACCGCCTGTCCCTGCACCCCCCTTCCTTCTCCCCGCCCCCGCACAGGCGCAGCGCTGCTGGCGTTTTGGGAGGCGACGAGGCAAAGTGAGGGGCTACGGGAAAGCGGGCGAGCGCCTAACCATCTCCCCACTGCCTTCCGCTACCGCCCGTCCCTGTCCAATCCCCCGTTCCTCCCCCCGATTCCCCGTTTCCCCCTGCAGACGCAGCACTGCTGGCGTTCTGGGAGGCGATGGGGCTGAGGGCGAGCGGGTGGGCCCCCCTCGGCCCTCCCCAGTGCCTTTCCCTGTATAAATCCCAACCCCCCCTTCCCCTGTATATATCCCACCCCCCCCTTCCCCTGTATATATCCCACCCCCCCCTTCCCTTGTATATATCCCACCCCCCCCTTCCCCTGTATATATCCCACCCCCCCCTTCCCCTGTGTAACGCGCAACCTAGCTAACCATCTAACTAACATCCCTAGTCAAATGTCGAAGCCCTTCTCGACAATGAGTTGAGACTACGGGAATTGTATTGGTTGGAATGGGAAGGTTGGGTTGGAGGGGAAGCTTGGCTTGACAATTCCAAACCTCAACTTTGAGGCTTGGAACTTCCCAACCCAACAAATGTGAAGATTGAATGGTTGGATTTCAAACCAATCAAATTGTGCCAGTTGTTGTTCTAATCCAACCAAACACAAAACAACCATACAACACAATTAAGTTGGGTTTTCCCAACCAAACTAAATTGCCACCTAGGCTCCAAGCCTATTAGCTCCTCAACCATGGAAGCCATGGTTGGGAAGAGCCCCAAGGGGTATGATGGAAGGGGTTGGAACTTTCAAGCTCATTCCCACTTCCCAACTCCAACTTACGAACTTGGAAATGGGATTTCTCTAAGTCATTTTTGGTTCTCCTAACAAGTTCTCCTACACAACTAAACTTATGTTATTTCAAGGACAAGCTCTACAAGAAGCTCTTATCTACTTGCTAAAGCTTCATCAACCTTCTTCAAGCTCCTTTTCTCCTCTCGAGCTTCAAGAGTATTATCAAGGCTAGTTTATCCCTTGGTGGGATTAGTTTAATCGTGGAAGCTTTGTATCTTGATTTTATATAAATTGTCAAGGAGGATTTATATTGAACATACGGTTGCCCGTTGTAATAAGGGCCGTGGTTGTTACACCCTGTATATATCCCACCCCCCCCTTCCCCTGTATATATCCCACCCCCCCCTTCCCCTGTATATATCCCACCCCCCCCTTCCCCTGTATATATCCCACCCCTTCCTTCCCCTGTATATATCCCACCCCCTCCTTCCCCTGTATATATCCCACCCCCCCCTTCCCCTGTATATATCCCTCCCACCCCATCCCCCTTTCAGGAGCGGCGCTGCTGGCGTTCTGGGAGGCGATGGGGCGCAGCAAGGGGCTGCGGGCGAGCGGGTGGGGCAACACGTCGCTCCCGTGTGACCCACGCAGGCCGCCGTGGGGGGGCGTGCACTGCAGCCCCACAGGCCACGTGGACGGCATGTGAGTGACATGTATAGCATGCATGGCATTGAGTGACATGCATAGCATGCATGGCATGTGAGTGACATGTATAGCATCCATGGCATGTGAGTGACATGTATAGCATGTATGGCATGTGAGTGACATGTATAGCATGCATGGCATGTGAGTGACATGTATAGCATCCATGGCATGTGAGTGACATGTATAGCATCCATGGCATGTGAGTGACATGTATAGCATCCATGGCATGTGAGTGACATGTATAGCATCCATGGCATGGCTTGGGGGGGCGTGCACTGCAGCCCCACAGGGCACGTGGACGGCATGTGAGTGGCGACGACGTGCCACCCCATGCCATCCCATGGCACCCCATGGCAACCCACGCCACCCCATGCCACCCCATTCCGCGCCGTGCCATGCATGTCATGTCATACTTCTTCCCACTGTCACCCCCTCCGCCACGCCACCCCACACCACCCCACGCCACGCCACGCCATACCATGCCATGCCACCACCACACGCCAATTTCCATTCTCCATGCATCCTGTTGCATGCAGCGAGCTGCCATGCAAGGGAGCGGAGTCACCCCAGGGGCAGCAGCTACATGGGAGGGGACAGGTCCAGTGGGCGAGCATGCTTGTCACTCTTTCTCTCCTTTCTGCATGCATACTCTTCTCTCTTCCCTTCCCACCACCACCCCCCCCACGCCCTTCCCTTCCCACCACCACCCCCCCCACGCCCTTCCCTTCGCACCAGCAGTGAGTTGCCGTTGAAGGGGCCGGAGTCACCTCAGGGGAAGCAGCTGCAGGGGCAGGTGCCTTGAGTGGGCATGCTTGTCATTCGTCTTTTTCTGTCCTCGTTCCAACTCTTCTCTTCCCACCACCAGCGAGCTGCCATACAAGGGACCGGAGTCACCGCAGGGGAAGGAGCTGCAGGGGCAGGTGCCGTGGGCGGGCATGACAGCCCTCTCACGCCTCACAATGCTCGACCTCAGCTTCAACCAGGCCTCGGGACCTCCTGTCACCCCTGCTGTTGCCGCCTTTACTGCCCTGCAAACCCTGTGAGTCTTGAATGTGAGAATCCCATAGTTGGGATGAGAGGTGAACTCAAGAGTTGATTTGATTAGAAGGATGGTGGGTACATATAAGCGATGAGAAGTGGGAGACCTAGGTTGGGCACCCGCAACATTATTGGTTAGCCAATGGGAGTAGCCACCAATAATGTTTTGGAGGTGGCTGCCAATTATTGGGGGGCCTGGTTCCCCCCGCCAATTGTGGCAGAGTGGGGTTGGGACGCGCCCAACCAAAAATGGTTGGGGCGCTTTGGCCCAAAGTGTACACCCATGTTTAGGTGTTACCCTTGCACATTTACAACCCAACTGATGCTATAATCTAACATTGAAACGGCTCAAGACTCGGACATTGACCCCAGCAGCGCCTCTGTGTTCTAGCTCAAGCCCTCTTTTCTCTCCTGCTCTCACCTCCCTGCAAAACATCTATTGTGCAACCAGCTACCACACCCCGTCCCTTCTGCTCGTCGTAGTACCCCATCCCCCTTTCTCCATCGCCTCACATCCATCTCCTGTAAAATAGGCTCTCGGTTTCCGTGTAACGCATGTGGGCTAAGTGTTAATGGGCATTCGCTGCGCCAATAACACCCTCGTTTTGACCCAGTGGGTAGCGAGGTGTTATACTGGACTCAGAGCCTGGGGTTCAAATCCTGGCTGATCCCACATTTACCGCCTGTGGCGAGAACTTGAATGTAGTTACAAGATTGGACCCAGCAAACGATCCTCCGCTGGCCTGACCTCAGCAGCGAAGTTGCTGCTTGGAGCACAGCGAACAGGTCCCTGCGGGGGCCGACTCCCTGAAGTTCGTCAACGAGGACGTTGACACCAGGGGGGGACGAGTGTAACGCCTGAGGGCTAAGTGTTAATGGGCATTCCGCTGCGCCAAATAACACCCTCGTTTTGACCCAGTGGGTAGCGAGGTGTTATATTCCGTCCCTGCTGTTCTCGCCTCCCTGCACTCTTCTCCCCCTCCCAACCCCCATGCTTCTCCAATTCCTCCTCTCCCATTCCTCTACTCCACTTTCTCGATCCCAACTCCCCGTTCCCCATTCCCCCATCGCCCCCCACAGCCAGCTGCAGTACAACAAGCTCACCGGCCCCGTCCCTGCTGTAATCGGCTCCCTGCCCGCGCTGCAGATTCTGTGAGTCCCAATCAAATGCCCCCCTGCGCATGTGCGCATGCACTGTGAACCCCTTAAACCCGCGCTGCAGATACTGTGAGTCTTAGTGGAACACCCCTTCCGACATGTGCCTAGGCACTGTGAACCCCCTAAGTCAGCGCTGCAGATACTGTGAGTCCCCATGGAATGAACCCCTGGACATGTGTATAAGCTCTATGAACCCCCTAAACCCTCGCTGCAGATACTATGAGTCTATGTTGCGCCTGACGCGTCAGGCGTTTTTTACGCTGGCATCTGGACGGGGCGTCCAGACGCTTGACGCCCGGTGTCCTCTGCCCTGGACGCCCGCTTGACGCTGGTCCGGGCAGGGCAAAACTTTTCCCGGGCAGGGGTAAAAAAAATCTGCCTAGTTAGGATATGCAGGGGTTAGAATGCAAGAAATTCACTTTTGTCACCTTAAGTTATAAATACTCCATACTTGCATTCTCCTTCCACACCACCTGCAGAAGGTGTGGAGCCACTACCAGATTGACCAGCGGAACTAGGAGTTGACATGATAACTTAATTGCCTTCACCTAATTTTAGCTAAGAAGGCTTAGTAACGTGACTGGCGGATTCTAGTGTAGGGTATGCTTGGCAATGTCGAGAGAAACAGATCTGTGAAGTGTCGACCTAAATGTGGTTCTCTAGTTTAGTTGGGGGTCGTCCTGGTTGGGAGTAGTAGATTGGGATGGGTAGAAATGTGTGGGGGGGAATAAATGTGGGTTGCGTTTTTCTAGGTCAAAGACGCAACCCCCGCTTGCCAATTTCATTGCAATTCTGGTCGCGATGATATCGCGCGTCAATTGCGAGCGGGATTTTTTTTTTTCGGGCTGCCCGAAAATTGTTTTCCCGAACGTCCAGCGTCAAACTGATTTGACGCGTCCAGCGTCCGGACGCTGGACGCTGCCCTTTCAAGGCGTCAGGCGCAACATAGCTATGAGTCTTAGTTAGGAGCCCCCTCCCACATACTTAGGCACTACTCTGTGAACCCTCGACACCTCGCTGCAGATTCTGTGAGTCCCAACTCAGTCCCCCTGCATGTGTAGATTCTGTGAGTCATCCCGGAAGACAGCCGTGTGATGTGATGCACTGTGGTGTGATGTGATGCACTGTGGTGTGATGTGATGCACCGTGGTGTGATGTGATGCACTACAGTGTGATGTGATGCACTACAGTGTGATGTGATGCACTGTGGTGTGATGTGATGCACTGTGGTGTGATGTGATGCACTACAGTGTGATGTGATGCACTACAGTGTGATGTGATGCACTACAGTGTGATGTGATGCACTACAGTGTGATGTGATGCACTACAGTGTGATGTGATGCACTGTGGTGTGATGTGATGCACCGTGGTGTGATGTGATGCACTACAGTGTGATGTGATGCACTACAGTGTGATGTGATGCACTACAGTGTGATGTGATGCACTACAGTGTGATGTGATGCACTACAGTGTGATGTGATGCACTACAGTGTGATGTGATGCACTACAGTGTGATGTGATGCACTACAGTGTGATGTGATGCACTACAGTGTGATGTGATGCACTACAGTGTGATGTGATGCACTACAGTGTGATGTGATGCACTACAGTGTGATGTGATGTACTGCGGTGTGATGTGGTGCACTGTGGTGTGATGTGATGCAGTGTGGTGCCAGCCAACCTCCCTCCTGCCCAACCTCCCTCATCCCCAATTTCCCTCCTGCCCGCCCGCCCCTGTGCGCCCACCCCTGTGTGTGTCCCCGCACCTGTCCCCACCCCATCCCTGCAGCGAGCTGGGCTACAATCAACTCTCAGGCCCGCTGCCTTCCACCCTCGGCCTGCTGCCCTCTCTGCAAGCACTGTACGTGCTGCCACACACCTGCCACTGCAAGCACTGTATGTCCTCTCTGCCAGCTTCCAGGCAACTTCCAGGCAATTCCCAGGCAGTTCCCAGGCTGCTACCAGGCAGCTGTGTCAGGCACCTGTGAGCAGCTCACCACACATTTTGTTGTCTTGACGTTTTCACGTGCACAGTTACGAATGAAAGGAAATGTAATCTGCACATCCCTCCGCCTCTCTCCCTCTGTCCCTTTCCCCTTCTCATCACCTCCACCTTCTCATCACCTCCACCTTCTCATCACCTCCACCTTCTCATCACCTCCACCTTCCTATCACCTCCACAGGACCTCGACTTACCCATATGGTTGACACCCGCCTCTTTCTCGCACCTTTCCTCCCCCTCTTCTCCCCTTTCAACCTTATCCCATTTGCCCACCCCTCCTTCCCACCTATCATCCCACCCACCCACCCATCCCTCCCTTCGCTCTCCAGCCGCATCCCATCCAGCAACATCACAGGTTCCCCACCGGCCTCTCTCCCGCACCTCTTCTAGCCTCTTCCCCCAATTCAACCTTCTCCCACTCCCCCATCCCTCTCCTTCCACCCCCTCATCCCTTCCTTCCCCTCCTCATTCCTTACAGCCGCATCCCCTTCAGCAACATCACGGGGTCCCTGCCCGCCTCTCTCCTGCGCGCCTTTTCTTGCCTCTCTTCCCCATTCAACTCCCACTCCCCCATCCCTCTCTCCTCACCTCCTTATCTCTGCCCCCTCCTCCCTTCCCTCCTCCCCATCCCTTACAGCCGCATCCCATTCAGCAACATCACGGGGTCCCTGCCGGCCTCGCTCTCGCGCCTCTCAGCGCTGAGCTCACTGCGCCTCACACAGAACCTTCTCGCTGGCCCCCTCCCCGCCAACCTCTCAGCACTCACCGCACTAACTGAGCTGTGAGTGATCTTGCACTGCCAGCACTGCCAGCACTGCCAGCACTACCTGTCTCTCTCGCGCCTCTCCTTGCAGAGCTCGTTGCGACTCACACACAACCTTCTCGCTGGCCCCCTCCCCCGCCAACCTCTCAGCACTCACCGCACTTACCGAACTGTGAGTGGCCTTGGTGCGGCTCACATATAGCCTTCTCTTTGGCCCCTTCCAACTTCTCAGCACTCACCGCACTAACTAATCTGTGAGTGCTTGCCTCTCTCTTGCGCCTATCCTTGCTGCTGCTCACGGCGAATATTCTCTTTGGCCCCCCTCCCCGCCAATATCCCACCACTCACCGCACTCACTGAGTTGTGAGTGCTCTCACCAGCACTGCCAGCACTGCCAGCAGCACTGTAGGAACTCTTAGTCCTGTCAATCTCTATTGTCCTGTCCACCCCTCTCGCCTTCCCCCACATCTCTCGCCTCCCCCCACTTCTCTCGCATCCCTCCACCCCTCTCGCCTTCCTTCATTATACAGCGTGTTCTCTCCGGTGTCCTTCTGAAGGCCGCGCCTTCTAAGGCTCTCGCGCTCTCTCTCCCTCCTCTGGCAGGAATTTGGCGAAGAATCAGTTGAACGGCTCTTTGCCTGCCTCGTGGGGTGCACTCACCTCACTTGCTGACCTGTGAGTGCCGTTGTGCGCGCGCGTGCGGGCGCGTGTGGATGTGTGTGTGTGTGTGTGTGTGCGCTTGTGAGTGTGTGATTGTATGTGTGTGTGAGTGTGGGAGTGTATGTGTGTGTGGGTGGGTGTGTGGGGATGGGTATGGGTAGTGTGTGTGTGTCCCACCTCCCCCCACATGCCCATGTCCTAACACCCCATGACGATGAGCAAGGGGCGAACACGATCGTGTTCGTGTTCGTCCCTGCATGAACAGAGCCGTTTGCCGAACTGATCAGTGTTCAGTTCGGCGAACACTTTTAGCAAAAGCAGATGTTCGGTGTTCGCCTGTGAAGGCGTGTTCGGTGCCCTTGTCCCACCTCCCCCCACCCCACATGCCCTTGTCCCACCTCCCCCCACATGCCACATCCCAACACCCCAACGACCCTACCCACGTCTTCACAACTCCTCATCCCTCGTCCCCCCCCTGTCCCCTTCCCCAGCTCTCACCTTGAGCGGCAAATATCCCTTGCTTCCCCATGCCTACCCCCCCTGCCATCCCTGTCCATCCCCATCCCACCCTGCTCCCCCCTGCCCTCCCATGCTCCGCCCTGCTTCCTCATGCCCCCCTGTGCCACTGCTGCTGACCCCCATGCCCCCCCGCGCTCCCCCCCTGCCGCACCATCTTTCCTCCCTTGCCCCTCCCCCTTTTTCCCACCACCAGCAAGGTGTCAGTGAATGCTCTCAGCGCCACACTGCCAGCCTCGTGGAAAATTCTTGTCTCTCAGGCAGCTGGAGGAGCTTCCCTCCCTACCCCCTCCTTGGTCCCCCTCTCCTTTCCCCCTGCCCACCCTTGCCTCCCCTGCCTTGGTGTCAGTGAACCATCTCAGCGGCACGCTGCCAGCTTCATGGGGAAAGCTCTCGTCGCTCCAGCACCTGGACCTTCCCTAGCCCCCTTTTCCAATCTGCCCAGCCCCCTCCCCACCCCCCTTTGCCTTCCTCCCTGCCCTGCGTCCTCTGCCCACCCCCCACCCACAAGCACGGTGTTGTCAAATAATCTCAGTGGCACGCTCCTAGCCTCATGGGGCAAACTCCTGTCGCCCCAGCACCTGGTGCTTCCTCCGCCCCTTTGACCTCCATCTCCGACCCGCCCCCTTCCCCACGCTACACCCTCCCTGCCCCTCACCCCCCTCTCCCCCACCAGCGAGGTGTCGGCAAATGCTCTCAGCTCAGCGGCACGCTGCCAGCCTCATGGAGCAAACCCGCGTCGCTCAGGCAGCTGGGGCTTCTCTACCCCATCCCCCTTCCCTGACCCCTGTGCGCCCCCTGCCCCCTCCTGCCCCCTTCCCTGCCCCCTCGTGCCCACACATCAGCAAGGTGTCGGTGAATTCTCTCAGCGGCTCGCTGCCAGCCTTGTGGAGCAAGCTCTCGGCGCTCAGGCAGCTGGCGGCTTCCAGCAACAACATCACAGGGCCCTTCCCCGCCTTCCTGCTCTCGCTACCGAGTATTGAGGAGATGTGAGTGGCTGGAGGGACCAGGGGAGAGGAGTGTGAGTGGTTTAGAGCTCACCTCTTGTCGCTCAGGCAGCTGGCAGCCACCAGCAACAACATCACAGTGCCCTTCCCCTCCTTCCTGCTCTCACTGCCCAACATAGAGGAGATGTAGGTGGTTGCAGCGAATGGGGGAAGGGGGGTGTTTGGGCTGCTGCTGCTGCCGTTGCCGCTGCCGCCCCCGCTGCCACTGCTGCTGCTGCCGCTGCTGCTGCTGCTGCTGCTGCCGCCGCCGCCGCCGCTGCTGCTGCTGCTGCTGCTGCCGTTGCCGCTGCCGCCCCCACTGCCACTGCTGCTGCTGCTGCTGCTGCTGCTGCTGCCGTCGCCGCCGCCGCCGCCGCCGCCACCGCTGCGACGATACTCGTTGCTACTGCAGGGGGGAATCTTACCGCTATTCCACACATGCCACCCTTCTGTCGTCCCTCACCATACCTCTGCCTGCATTTCTTCCTGCCTGCCTATGTGCTTCTCCCCCTGCATGCCTGTCTCCCTGCATGCCTGTCTCTCTGCATGCCTGCCTGCCCGCCTGCCTGTCGTCCCGTCTGCCTGTGCATTGCCGCAGCACCCTGAACAGCAACAGCATGTATGGTCCAGTGCCGCCCAACATCACCATCTCTCCCAGCGTCACGACCCTGTGAGTGAGCTTAGCAGCGTCACGACCCTGTGAGTGAGCTTAGCAGCGTCACAAGCCTGTGAGTGACCCCACCGTGACAACCATGCCATGCCATGCATGCCATACCGTGCCATGCCACGCTAACCACACACCCTGGTATGATCTCATCTCCCCAATGGATACCTCCCCATACACCTTTACGTACTGATTACCCAAATGGATACCTTCCCATACCCCCCATACACCTGTATTGATATCGCCCAATGGATACCTCCCCTCCCCATACACCTGTCGTGTCGTGTATTGATCGTAGGGACATCGGGCTCAACTACTTCAACGGCTCCGTCCCGCCTGCTCTGGACCAGCCAGGCTTCATGTGAGTCACCTGGGCATGTCACATGGGCATGTCACATGGGCATGTCACATGGGCATGTCACCTGGGCATGTCACATGGGCATGTCACATGGGCATGTCACCTGGGCATGTCACATGGGCATGTCACATGGGCATGTCACGTGGGCATGTCACATGGGCATGTCACCTGGGCATGTCACCTGGGCATGTCACATGGGCATGTCACCTGGGCATGTCAAATGAGCATTGATATCTCCCCAGGGACTTCGGCTGAACTATTCCAATTTTCAACGGCTCTGTGCCGCCCGCTCTGGACCAGCCCGGCTTCTTGTGAGTCCATGCAGGCAGCCGGGTGGTCACGCAATCAGGCAAGAGCAACAAGGTTATCAGGCAATCAGGTAGTTGGTAACCAGGTAACCAGATTACTGATGGTAGGGATGGTTAGGTAAGCTGGTAGCGGGAAAGGTGTCGATGGACCGTACCATAGGCCTCGTGTTTTGATTGTTTGAGTTGAGTGTTTGAGTGTATGAGTTGAGTGTTTGAGTGTATGAGTTAGGCTGTGGTCAGTTCATATGTCTTCGGTGCGTTCTCTGCGGTTTTATTTGGTTGGTTGTGTCTCAGTGCGAAATGGTAAACCTCGAAACCGCTTTCCACCTTGTGGAACCGTCCTGAGCCAGGGAGCATGTGCTGTGAACGTGTGACGTGACTTGACCACGCCCACACCACGCCTTGTGCTCAGCCTTGTGTGGCAGTCTCTTCTGTTGCCCTGATGTCACCCCAAGCAAGTGTCATGTTAGAGCTATCACGCCTTCTTCTGAGCTGCCGTCCATCCTGCTGCTGTCTTCATGTCACTGCTCTAGCTCCCCTCTCCTGGCATAAAATGCCTTCCCTAATTCGTTCCCACTTCCCTCCCTGGGCCAACCTTGTGCGCCCACATCACACCAAACCACACTCCACCTCACCGCACCACACCATGCTCCACCACACCACCACATCAGCTTCGTGGACAACTGTTTCAATGAGACGGGCAGCACCAATCAGAAGCAGCAGAGCAGCTCCACCTGCACCATTTTCTACAACCTGCTCTACCCCCGACCCCCTCCCGGTACGCCCCCTCCCGGTAAGCCCCCTCCCGGTAAGCCCCCTCCCGGTAAGCCCCCTCCCGGTAAGCCCCCTCCCGGTAAGCCCCCTCCCGGTACGCCCCCTCCCGGTAAGCCCCCTCCCGGTAAGCCCCCTCCCGGTAAGCCCCCTCCCGGTACGCCCCCTCCCGGTAAGCCCCCTCCCGGTAAGCCCCCTCCCGGTAAGCCCCCTCCCGGTACGCCCCCTCCCGGTACGCCCCCTCCCGGTAATCCCCCTCCCAGTACGCCCCCTCCCGGTAAGCCCCCTCCTAGTACACCTCCTTATCATTCAGTTCAGAACGAGCGAAGTGACTTTGAGTCGAATCAGAGCAAGGTGACTTGTGAGTGAGTGTGTCGAATCAGAAGCAGCAGAGCAGCACCACCTTCTACAACCTTCTCTACCCCCCGCCCCCGCCCCCTCCCGGTACACCCCTTTCCTTCCCCGTACGCCCCAATTCCTTTTCCGTGTACCCTTTTCCCATATGCTCCCGCCCCTTTTCCATATCCTCCGTCCCCTTCCCATATCCTCCGTCCCCTTCCCATATCCTCCGTCCCCTTCCCATATGCTCCGTCCCCTTCCCATATGATCCGTCCCCTTCCCCAATCCTCCGTCCCCTTCCCATATGCTCCGTCCCCTTCCCATATGCTCTGTCCCCTTCCCATATGCTCTGTCCCCTTCCCATATGCTCCGTCCCCTTCCCATATGCTCCGTCCCCTTCCCATATGCTCCGTCCCCTTCCCCAATCCTCCGTCCCCTTCCCAAATCCTCCGTCCCCTTCCCATATGCTCCGTCCCCTTCCCATATGCTCCATCCCCTTCCCATATGCTCCGTTCCCTTCCCATATGCTCCGTCCCCTTCCCATATTCTCCGTCCCCTTCCCATATGCTCCTGTTAGAAGTGAACCATTGACTTGATTAGGAATGATACGGGCTTACATAGTTGAAGCTAGGGGAGGGGGGGTTGGTTGGGTACCTAGTCAACATTATTGGCCCCCCACCAATAAGTTGGGTTGGAGTATTATTGGGGGGTCCCAATAATGTTGGCCAAAGGTGGGCCAACATTATTGGGGGGGGGGCAATAATCTCCCAACCCAACCTTGGAGGCCAATAATTGGACCAAGGTTGGGTTCCAACCCCCAACTAGGGTTAACCCTAGTTGTGCACCCAAACATAGTTTGGGTGCCTATCTCTGTCCTAGGGTTTATAGGATCAGTGCAGGATACAGAAGAGTAGTATAATCTAGCAGCTCCGTCCCCTTCCCATATGCCGCTGCTGCCGCTGCTGCTGCTGCTGCTGCTGCTGCTGCTGCTGCTGCTGCTGCTGCTGCTGTTGATGGGGCTAAACTCTCTTGCTTCCCTTCACGCCCTTCTGCAGCCCCACCATCCCAGGCGGTGGTAATGCTTCCGTCCTCTGGTGGCGGCGTGCTGCTGCCGGTGCTGCTTCTCCTAACCTCTTTTGCTCCCCTTCCCTCCCCTCGCCTCTGCAGGCCCACCAGTCCAGGAGGTGGTAACAGTGCCATCCTCGTCCTTCCCAATAGCAGCAGTGGTGGTGCCGGTCGTGGTGGTGGTGCTAGTGCTGCTGCTCACTGTCTTCCTCTGGCGGCGCTGGCGCTCTGAAAGGCTCGCACGCATGCTGCGCAAGGAGATTGGCAGTGAGTGGGGAGGGGAGGAGGGGGGCGGAGGGGGTTGGTAAGCTGGGAGCGAGTGGGGGGGAGTACAGTAAAGTAAGGGTATTGAGGTGGGAGGGGGGATGTGGGAGGAGAGAGGGGGGGATGTCTGGGAGAGAGAGTGTGGAGGGTGGTGTCTGCTTGTGTGCGGTAAGGGTTGAGTAATCATGCTGATTGCTCCGCCTGCCACCCTGTGCTGTGCTGTGCCCATTTCCTTCGCCTTTCGGCACTGCAGGCAGCTCACGCGTATTCTCCCTGGCGGAGCTGCGGCGGGCCACCAAGGAGTGGCAGGCGGAGATCGGGCGGGGCGGGTATGGCAGCGTGTACAAGGCGGTGCTCAAGGACAAGACGGTGGTGGCCGTGAAGCGGCTGGACGTGGTGAGAAGGAGTGGGGCGGAATGGGGGGGAGCAAGAGGGAGTGAGACGGAGTGAGGGTGTGAGTGATAGTGAGGTCGGGCGGGGCGGGTATGGCAGCGTGTACAAGGCCGTGCTGAAAGACAAGACGGTGGTGGCTGTGAAGGGGCTGGATGTGGTGGGTGGGAGAGAGTGAGAGGGGGTGAGAGGGAGTGAGAGGGGGTGAGAGGGAGTGAGAGGGGGTGAGAGGGAGTGAGAGGGGGTGAGAGGGAGTGAGAGGGGGTGAGAGGGAGTGAGAGGGGGTGAGAGGGAGTGAGAAGTCCAGTGCCACCTGGTGAATTTCCAGAGCCTCTGTCTTCTAGCGCACCCCCAGCCATGCGCCCTCCCCATCTCAGGTGTCAGACCAGACCAGGGCGACAGGGAGTTCTTCGGGAGGTGTTGTCACTGCCACCTGGTGAATCGCCTGGTCACCTCCATCTGATTTCCCCCCCCTCCCCCTCTCAGGTGTCGGACCAGGGCGACAGGGAGTTCATTCGCGAGGTGGAGCTGCTCTCACGCGTGCACCACCGGCACCTGGTGAATCTCCTGGGCTTCTGTGCGGAGAAGGAGGAGCGTGCGCTCGTGTACGAGTACATGGGGCTGGGGTCGCTGTTCGACCACTTGCACGGTGAGAGCTTGGGCTGGGCTGAGAGGTGCTGGGGCTGGGTGCAGCAGGGTGGGATGGGATGGGGTGGGCTGGGAGCTTGGGCTGGGCTGAGAGGGTACGTGTGGGTGCAGTAGGGTGGGTGTGTGTGTGTGTGTGTGTGAAAGCATGGTGGGTGGGAGGATGGGGTTCGTGATGACTGTGTGTATGGCTGTATAAGAACGGATGGAAACATCTGGTGCATCGGACGGATTGGATGGCGAATTCCCCTCTCCTCTCCCAGGCCCGCATGCCAAAGAGACTCCCGTCTCATGGGACTCACGCATCAAGATCGCCATCCACGTGGTTCTCCTGCTGTTGCCCCTTCCTCGCCCCCCCCACCGCACTCTCCTCTCCCCACCTTTCTCCCAGGCCCGCACGCCAAGGAAACTCCCCTGTCATGGGACTCACGCATCAAGATCGCCATCCACGTGGCGCTCGGCATTGACTATCTGCACTACGGCGCCGACCCGCCTCTCATCCACCGGTGAGACCGTGGAGCAGGGGGGCAGGGGGGGCAGGGGGGCAGGGGGGCAGGAGGGCAGGGGCGCAGGGGGGCAGGGGCGCAGGGGGGCAGGGGCGCAGGGGGGCAGGGGCGCAGGGGGGCAGGGACGCAGGGGGGCAGGGGCGCAGGGGGGGCTGGTCTTCCCACCATTCACTGGTAAGGAATTGAATGTTCCCCACCCCTTTGTGTCGCACCTCTGATTCCCATCCTTGTCCGATTCCCATCCGCGTGTCGCACCTCCGATTCCCATGCCGCTCTGGTCTTGCCAAGGAGCTGCCTGCCTAAGCCCCTCTTCCCTCTGCCGTCCCCCTCATCTTTCCCCCATTTGCTTTACCCCAGCGACATCAAGTCAGGCAACATCCTGCTCTCAGAGGACGGTCTAGCCAAGGTAGCAGACCTTGGTCTGTGCAAGGAGGTGCCGGTGGACGTGACGCCAGAGGGCCAGCCTCCTCTCACCACCCCCCCCCCCCCTCTCTCCCTCCCCCCCCCCAGCGATATCAAATCAGGCAACATTCTCCTGTCCGAAGATGGCTTAGCAAAGGTAGCAGACTTCGGGCTGTGCAAGGAGGTGCCGGTGGATGTGACGCTGGAAGGCCAGCCGCAGCTGCTGCCGCCCACCACGGCGGTGCGGGGGTCGTTTGGGTACCTGGATCCCGAGTATGTGAGCACGTCGCTGCTCACCGACAAGAGCGACGTGTACAGCTATGGCGTCGTGCTGCTGGAATTACTCAGTGGCAAGTATGCCATTCACGAGAAGCAGCCTCTCGCATACTGGGTGAGTGGGAACACATGACGTTACGTTATTGGTTGGTCCCCACTAATAACGCCAAGGAAACCCCTCTCTCATGGGATCCTCACCGCCTCCTCACCTCACCACGCCCGTCCCCATCTGCCTTCCCATGCGCGAGCTGCACTCCTCACAGTTCACTGTGTCCATCTATCCTCCCTAGTATGCTTGCCCTGTTGCTTCTGTCTTTGTGCCTCCAATACCTTTGTTCCTCTGCCTGTGTTGTTCCTCTGCCTGTGTTGTTCCTCTGCCTGTGCCGTTCCTCTGCCTGTGCTGTTCCTCTGCCTGTGTTGTTCCTCTGCCTGTGTTGTTCCTCTGCCTGTGCTGTTCCTCTGCCTGTGTTGTTCCTCTGCCTGTGTTGTTCCTCTGCCTGTGCTGTTCCTCTGCCTGTGCTGTTCCTCTGCCTGTGTTGTTCCTCTGCCTGTGTTGTTCCTCTGCCTGTGCTGTTCCTCTGCCTGTGCTGTTCCTCTGCCTGTGCTGTTCCTCTGCCTGTGTTGTTCCTCTGCCTGTGTTGTTCCTCTGCCTGTGCTGTTCCTCTGCCTGTGTTGTTCCTCTGCCTGTGTTGTTCCTCTGCCTGTGTTGTTCCTCTGCCTGTGTTGTTCCTCTGCCTGTGTTGTTCCTCTGCCTGTGCTGTTCCTCTGCCTGTGTTGTTCCTCTGCCTGTGCTGTTCCCCTGCCTGTGCTGTTCCTCTGCCTGTGCTGTTCCTCTGCCTGTGCTGTTCCTCTGCCTGTGTTGTTCCTCTGCCTGTGCTGTTCCTCTGCCTGCGTTGTTCCTCTGCCTGTGTTGTTCCTCTGCCTGTGTTGTTCCTCTGCCTGTGTTGTTCCTCTGCCTGTGCTGTTCCTCTGCCTGTGTTGTTCCTCTGCCTGTGTTGTTCCTCTGCCTGTGCTGTTCCTCTGCCTGTGCTGTTCCTCTGCCTGTGCTGTTCCTCTGCCTGTGCTGTTCCTCTGCCTGTGCTGTTCCTCTGCCTGTGTTGTTCCTCTGCCTGTGCTGTTCCTCTGCCTGTGCTGTTCCTCTGCCTGTGCTGTTCCTCTGCATGTGCTGTTCCTCTGCCTGTGCTGTTCCTCTGCCTGTGTTGTTCCTCTGCCTGTGTTGTTCCTCTGCCTGTGCTGTTCCTCTGCCTGTGTTGTTCCTCTGCCTGTGCTGTTCCTCTGCCTGTGCTGTTCCTCTGCCTGTGCTGTTCCTCTGCATGTGCTGTTCCTCTGCCTGTGCTGTTCCTCTGCCTGTGTTGTTCCTCTGCCTGTGTTGTTCCTCTGCCTGTGCTGTTCCTCTGCCTGTGTTGTTCCTCTGCCTGTGTTGTTCCTCTGCCTGTGCTATTCCCCTGCCTGTGCTGTTCCTCTGCCTGTGCTGTTCCTCTGCCTGTGCTGTTCCTCTGCCTGTGTTGTTCCTCTGCCTGTGCTGTTCCTCTGCCTGCGTTGTTCCTCTGCCTGTGTTGTTCCTCTGCCTGTGTTGTTCCTCTGCCTGTGTTGTTCCTCTGCCTGTGCTGTTCCTCTGCCTGTGTTGTTCCTCTGCCTGTGTTGTTCCTCTGCCTGTGCTGTTCCTCTGCCTGTGCTGTTCCTCTGCCTGTGCTGTTCCTCTGCCTGTGCTGTTCCTCTGCCTGTGCTGTTCCTCTGCCTGTGTTGTTCCTCTGCCTGTGTTGTTCCTCTGCCTGTGCTGTTCCTCTGCCTGTGTTGTTCCTCTGCCTGTGCTGTTCCTCTGCCTGTGCTGTTCCTCTGCCTGTGCTGTTCCTCTGCATGTGCTGTTCCTCTGCCTGTGCTGTTCCTCTGCCTGTGTTGTTCCTCTGCCTGTGTTGTTCCTCTGCCTGTGCTGTTCCTCTGCCTGTGTTGTTCCTCTGCCTGTGTTGTTCCTCTGCCTGTGCTATTCCCCTGCCTGTGCTGTTCCTCTGCCTGTGCTGTTCCTCTGCCTGTGCTGTTCCTCTGCCTGTGTTGTTCCTCTGCCTGTGCTGTTCCTCTGCCTGCGTTGTTCCTCTGCCTGTGTTGTTCCTCTGCCTGTGTTGTTCCTCTGCCTGTGTTGTTCCTCTGCCTGTGTTGTTCCTCTGCCTGTGCTGTTCCTCTGCATGTGCTGTTCCTCTGCCTGTGCTGTTCCTCTGCCTGTGTTGTTCCTCTGCCTGTGTTGTTCCTCTGCCTGTGCTGTTCCTCTGCCTGTGTTGTTCCTCTGCCTGTGTTGTTCCTCTGCCTGTGCTATTCCCCTGCCTGTGCTGTTCCTCTGCCTGTGCTGTTCCTCTGCCTGTGCTGTTCCTCTGCCTGTGTTGTTCCTCTGCCTGTGCTGTTCCTCTGCCTGCGTTGTTCCTCTGCCTGTGTTGTTCCTCTGCCTGTGTTGTTCCTCTGCCTGTGTTGTTCCTCTGCCTGTGTTGTTCCTCTGCCTGTGCTGTTCCTCTGCCTGTGCTGTTCCTCTGCCTGTGCTGTTCCTCTGCCTGTGCTGTTCCTCTGCCTGTGCTGTTCCTCTGCCTGTGCTGTTCCTCTGCCTGTGCTGTTCCTCTGCCTGTGCTGTTCCTCTGCATGTGTTGTTCCTCTGCCTGTGTTGTTCCTCTGCCTGTGTTGTTCCTCTGCCTGTGCTGTTCCTCTGCCTGTGCTGTTCCTCTGCCTGTGTTGTTCCTCTGCCTGTGCTGTTCCTCTGCCTGTGCTGTTCCTCTGCCTGTGTTGTTCCTCTGCCTGTGCTGTTCCTCTGCCTGTGTTGTTCCTCTGCCTGTGTTGTTCCTCTGCCTGTGCTGTTCCTCTGCCTGTGCTGTTCCTCTGCCTGTGTTGTTCCTCTGCCTGTGCTGTTCCTCTGCCTGTGCTGTTCCTCTGCCTGTGTTGTTCCTCTGCCTGTGCTGTTCCTCTGTCTGTGTTGTTCCTCTGCCTGTGCTGTTCCTCTGCCTGTGTTGTTCCTCTGCCTGTGTTGTTCCTCTGCCTGTGCTGTTCCTCTGCCTGTGGTTGTTCCGCTGGCTGTGCCTCCCAATCCCCTCCCCCACCCTTCTCTCCCCCTTGTATGTGCCTCCCAATCCACCAGGCGGAGGAGTACCTAACAGACAGCGAGCGCCTGGGGGAGCTGCTGGGCCTGTCTGAAGCCAATAGCCTTTCCACCCGCCTGCCATGTCTGTTGCCTTTTATTGTGCCCGTGCCACCCACCAGGCGGAGGAGTATCTGATGGACAGCGAGCGCCTGGTGGAGCTGCTGGACCCGGCGCTGGGCAGCGACTACGACCTGCATGAGGCGCAGATTCTGTGTGACATCGCCAGGAGCTGCGTGCAGGTGAGAGTAGCATGTGTACCAGTGAGAGGGTAGCGTGCTTGTTGTTCGGGTGAGAGCAGCATGTGTGTGTATAGATAGAGTCACGGTCAGTGACTACGACCTGCATAAGGCGCAGATTCTGTGTGACATTGTGAGGAGCTGCATGCAGGTGAGCAGCAGATTCCACCCTTGAATTCCACCCTTGAATTCCACCCTTGAATCCGGCACTCATTTTGATGCCACACTCAATCTCTCGGCCTCTTCCCCCTTTCCATCCTCCACCTCTCCCCCCATTCCCCCCACCCCTCCGTACCGCGCAGGACCGTTCGGCGGACCGGCCAGCCATCAGGGACGTGGCGCAGGCGCTGGTGGAGCATCTGGGGCGCGTGGTGGTGATGGCCTCCTCCACCGCCTCCTCCGAGTACAGCTATGGCTACTCCTATGATGACTATGGCTCGCAGCAGCCTTTCTTTTCGGGCAGCCTGCCCGACACCTCAGGCAGCTACACGGGGGATTCGCCAGGGAATCCGGTTGCTGGTGGTGGTGCGAATGGTGGTGCGGGTGGGAAGGCTGGGAATGGTGGGACGGGGGATGGGTTCACGTTTCGGAATTGCCAGTCACAGCCAATCATCATCGCGCGTGCGGGTGGGGGAGTGGAGGGGAGTGGGGAGGACGGGGGAGGGGAGGGGGATGGGGGAGCGGGGAGTGTGCAGATGTCAACGGGTGTGCATGGCAACAGGCCTCCTGTGCCCATTGGGGCGCATGAGGGCACGGTGTGAGGGGCCTTTAGGGACATTCCTTCCTTCCATGTGATGTGTGCTATGGGGGGTCGATGTTTGTTACAGTAGGGTTTAGTGCAGGGGAAGGTGTAGAAAGGGGCTTGGTCTGTGGTGTTGTGAAATAAGGCTGGGTGTGCCACCTGCAGGCCAAATGGTGCAATTCTGATGTGATGTGAATGTGTCAAAATGTGGTTATATCCGATACAAATTGAGCAAATGGTACAATTTGTGCAACTGCTGTAGTGTGGTTATATAAATCACCTCCTGTAGGTAGTGAACTTCCTGTAATCATATTATTCACCTCCTGCTTATCTTTGCCTTGTTTCCCAAACCCTTTGGTGAAGTGAAACACCTCCTTCCTTCATTTTCCCCTCGCCAACTTTCCTCCTCCCATGGATCTCCTTGTCAAAGTACTGTACGTACACCGAAATGAGCATGACTAGCAAGAGATGGGTACATATCGTTGGAAACATATAGTTCGCGCTTCTGGTGTGTCAAGCACTACAACGAAAGCGAAGCGAACTAAAGTGAAGCAACAGCGAGTCAATCAAAGCGGTTGACCGAAAGACAACAGCAAGAGGTTGAGTGAAGGTCAAAGGTCAGCGACCTTTGACTTGCCGAAGGCAACGTGACAGCAAGGACACATAGCTAACTCGATACTGAGCAGTTACCCGAGTCGTCGCTGTATCAAACCGCAACAGCAGTTACAGTTAGTTAAACCTTTCGTATTCCTTGTAATCATATTAAAGCTTGTATCTCTTTGTTATTATCAAGTTATCTTGTTCTCACATACTAGTGCAAGGTGGTTCAATCAGTTCACTAATACGCTTCCGCTAAAACATCACTACTCTAAGCCTCTAGTCTTGAAAAACGATCCTAAGGGCTTTTCTCAGCCCAACATGGTATGAGAGCTAGCAAGACAAAAAGACAACTGTGTTCAAGCTCCTACAACAACGGAAGGCATGGCTACGCAGAAAGAGAGAAGCTCGGCTCGTCTACTGGATCTCCAAGTAACTCCTACTCCACCACTAGCCTTTGGATTTCAGACAGAGAGAGGCACAACCCAAGTACCAGCTGCTGAGCCTACTGAAACTCCAGCCAGTCAAGCTACCGGCTTCGACCCAAGCATGATGGAGAAGTTCTTCTCCTTCATGTCGCTCTACGAGCAACACCAACAAGCAGAACCTGCGCAGTCAAACAACAGCGATAACAACAACAGAGTCACTCCCATGAGCCTCGACGGTTCATCATTTGCGCGCGGAAATCAGCAGCCTACCTTCGCACCGTATGAGCATCAACGCGGCTCTGTCAGCTTCATGCCGAATCGACTCTGGACGAGAAACGAAGACACTGGACGCACTTCAGTTGCAGTCACAGTTTGCGAACGTTCTGAAACTGCAAACAACAACGCCATTCGACGGCAAAGATTTCTATACCTGGTCCTTTGAGTTCAAGCTTATGATGGAGGGCGCCCAAATCCTTGGCTTCTTCGACGGTTCCCTGCCATATCCAACGCATGGGACATAGTACGACAAGCAGCAGTACACGTATCAGTCACTCATGGCGTACACCATCCTCCTGCAAAACTTAACGCCAAACGAGCAAAAGAACATGCGGTCTTATCGCGGATACGGTAACTCCGCCAAGCTCGCATTCAACCACCTGAAGAATCTATACCAAGCAACCGACACCGTTAATCAAAGTCGTCTCATGGCGCAATTGACAACAATTCAAATGCAACCGGGTGAAAAGGGGATGGCATATATCAGTCGATGTCGCGGATTGCGCGATAGACTCCTTCAATGCGGCGGATCAATATCCGAAGAAGCGTTCGTCACTGTCGTCATCACATGCCTCTGTCCTCAGTGGCCCTCCACTCGAGCTATTCTCTGAGCTCACGGAAGAATCTCCGAAGCAAACCTTTGCGCTAAAATCTACGCCGAGCAACAGGACATGGACCTACACGAAGAACGTCACAAGAAGAAGGCATCAGTACAGGAGTTCGCATTTCACATTCAGTGGCGCAACAACAACAACCGACAACACGAGCACCAAGCACGAAGATACGTACCACCGTTCTGTCATCTCTGTAAAATGTCAGGACACTCTCGCATTCACTGCCCAAATCAACACCAATCAACACCACCACCACGCCAGCTTCGACCTTCAAGCAGTCAGGTGGCTTCCACACAGCCACATCCTTCCAACCAGGTGCCGCCTTCAACGACGACGTCCCAACCTGCACAAGGACCAAGAAATATCATAAGTTGCATAACAAGAACAGACTCTTGCATCACCGGATCACCACCGACCTACTCACCAAAAGAACTACTCGACGAAAGCACGCCTCGTCGCGAATCACTGGAACCAAATCCGACGTACACAACTATCGCACAGAGCGAACCATCCGGTCAAGACACTTGGTTCCTGGACAGCTGTTGCGGACAACATAGGTGCTCATCAAACCGCTTCGTCCAACGGGAACAACGCCTCAACTGAGATGTTGTGATCACCATCGCCAACAACCAAAACCTGTGCACATGACGACAAGGAGTAGTTCAACTTCAGTCCCGCGAGAGCAACGTCGTCTTACAAATGTCGTAGGTTTTAAATGCAGAAGGACTGGGCTACAACTTACTCATCGTCAGCCAGCTCATGGCAAAAGGAATTCATCTTGAAGGCAACAATACCACTCAAGAATTCAGACTTTACATTGGAAGAGCAATCCTGAAGAACAGCGTCTTCGTCCTTGACTTCGTCCCTGATCAAGGAACCGCATACAGCGACGCGATTGTTATCTTCACCACTTGGTCGCACACACCAGATCTTGGTCGGAGGATTCTGGTACTCGCACACCATACCCGAAGCAGAACGAACAAGGGTGTTAGCGGTGATCCAAGAGACATTAGGAGAAGCATCAACATCGGCAGTAGCAGAGACAACAGCAGCAGAGACAGCAACAGCAGAGACAACAGCAGCAGAGACAACAGCAGCGAAGACATCAGCAGAAGCAGCGGCAACGGCAGCAGCAGCGGCAACGGCAACAGCACCGACAACGGGAGCAGCACCGGCAACATCGGCAGAAGCAGAGACAAAGACACCATCATCAACACCCGCTCAGCAGCTGAATCCTGCCCCACGCAACGTTCACCGAAGCGCCAACATCACTGCCAGTTTTTACTCCAACTCCGATATGTACAGACGTTCACCTGGACATCGCGCTGACGAATCATTATGGCATCAAAGGTTAGGGCATCCTAGCAACACAACACTGAACAACACGATAAAAGCAGGGGTGCTCGATAACGACTCACTACTCCTACCCGACGGCAGAGAACTTCAACGAGTCCGCGGAACCTGCTTTACCACCCTTGAAGCCAACTTACCCCATCAGCCGTTTGTCTCTCTTCACAACCCAAGCGCGCTAGCCTATGCACCGCTGGAGAAGGTTTACAGCAACATACTGTACGCCCGCGAAAGCGGACAAGGAGCCTACAACCATGTCATCACCTTCATCGACGCCGCCACTAGATACGTCTGGCACCTCAATCTTCCGAGTCGCGACATGGCCCTCGAAGCCTTCGTCGCATGGCTTCCAGTAGGAGAAAGGGAATCAGGAGTGAAGCTGAAAAGCTTCCACTCAGACAGGGGAGGAGGATTTCAGTCACAACGGTTCAAGCAGTACATGGCGGAGAGGGGCATCAAGCGACTCATCTACGCAAAGTGAAAAAACCCTACAACGCATAGAAAATCTTCGACGTCCACTCAAAGGAAACAGTAGCAGCACGTGACGTGATTTTCTAAGAACAACTCACTGTCCAAACGTACCTGGACAACTTGGCAGCAGAACGAGACCTCACGGACGGCTTCCATGGCAACCGAGCCTTCGCCACACTAGCCGATGAGGCTCACTGGGATGAGCAAAACGTGGACGGAGCATCCGAGGAAGCTGGATCCCTTCCTTACTGCTCAGTACCAATTCCGATGGACGACGAAAATTCTCGCGAAAGCGTCAACGCCAGAGTCTACTACGACTTCACCAACAATGGTTACGTTGCACCCCAGCCGGTCAACACCAAAGTTTCGGAACGCATAGGTCCCAACTTTCTTACCTGATCCAGAAGCGGGAGACGAACCAGTCTATCCCGAGGACCCAAATCTCCCTCGCTACACACAGAGTGGGCTGCAGATAATCGGACCCGTCACCACCGTCCACGTAGCATCACCTGTAAAGAATGAAACGAGAGAATGATTGAACTATGAAAGAGTTGGGTACAAGTACTAACCCTAATTGGGCTGTACCCCTTATGGGCTACCCCACTACAGCCTATACAAATGTATAAGCTATAATGTTCTGACACACCCCCATAGGCAAAGTGGGGGAGAACAAGTGGTCACAAGACCAGTCAAGCAAAGCAAAGCAAGCTCAGGGTGGATCACAAAGTCACCACACACTCCGAGCACAAGAGTAAAGCCACAAGGCAAGTTCACATGCAGGATCATATATATAAAGGTAAACAAGCAAGTGCAGGTATAGAAAGAGTACAGTACAAACAAGATCAAGAAGTGAGCAAGTGAGGCCAGGTGGGAACAACACCTAGCAAAGTACAGAAGCGCTGATGATCACAAGGCAGAAGGGACTTGGTGAAGATATCAGCAGTGTTGGCCTCAGAGGCCACATAGGTGAGGCGGAGCTGACCACGCTGCTGCACCTCACAAGCCAGGAAGTAGCGGAGAGCAATGTGCTTCGTTCTGTGCTCCAGTCTGTGCTCCCGACACAAAACCAGCATGGCCTTGTTGTCTACGTACAGAACTGGAGGAGAACGAGGCGGCTCTCCTAGGTCAGTCAGAAGGTAGGTGAGCCAGCGTAGCTCCTATGCAGCCATGGCCCCTGTGTAGATACCAGCCTCACAGCTGGAGCTGAGAATAGAAGACGAGCGGGTAGACCGCCACGAAATAGAGCCGGAGCCAAGGCTGAAGGTGTAACCATGTGACGACTG